GTGCCTCCTACCTAATCCTTTCATCCTCCGTCTTTACACCCTCTGCTCGTCTTCCACCCACATCCCCTCTGGCATCTATCTTCCTCTTGCCTCCTGCTCCTCTCCTCTCCCCTTTTCTTGCGTTAGGAGAAAAAAAAATGACACAAGTCATGCAGAGTAAAAAGGCAGCACTCCTCCTGTCCGCGTTCAAGTCTGTCATCTTGTTCGGCTCTCAGGTTTCTCCCCAGAGTCTCACGCCTGGTTGTTATTTAACACTGAGATACGGAGCACTGGAGCAGAGGGAACCACATTATGCTGAAAGCCTTCATCATTTGCCTGGGGCACCTTACAGGAGTTTTTAACCTGTCTCTCTTTTTAAACCGCATGCAAGCTTGTGGCTGGGCTGTTTACCTGTCAGAGTGAAGTTTTTGAATCTTTTCCTTGTTTCTTGTCATCCTGCAGCCCATTAGCAATGCAGACTTCATTGTTCCGGTGGAGATTGATGGCACCGTTCATCAGGTAATACTGCACCGATATGGAGGGCTTCCAGAAATGGGCTTGAATAAAACAATATGTGTGAATTTATAAGGGTGGAGACCTTGGCTTCACTTTACTTTCCTCTGTATTTATTATTCCCTTTTATCTCACAGCGATTTAAGCTCAAACTGTTTAGTTGTCTTTGATTTATTCTTTGAATCCTTGCTGCAGTAAAGATAACTGGACAGTGACGCGAGTGTTTCGGCGCACAATGTTGAAGCTGCTGTTGAGTTTGTAGCAGAAGAGATTGTGCACTGAGTAGAAATGTGCATAAAGGGCGGCGTCCTTTTGAAGGTTTAATTGTCTGTGTCCGGTTTGAAGCAAAGGAAGTGATATTGTAGCTGTAACCTGGTTCAAGTAATCCAGGATAGGCTTTCTGCATCTGCTTTGGCCTATGCTTGATTACTTGCACTTGGAGGCAGCAACTAACCTGCAGAGATCTACTAAGAAGGACGAAGATGACAAGCAATGAAAAATAAGACCTCAAAGCATCCAAGTATTGCTCAAAAATGTTTTAAGTTTCATTTTTGTACCCCAATTTTACTTAAACACAAATCTGCAAGTGGGTAAAATTGAACTGAATAGTTATAGAGCAGCTAAAGAAGATTTCAAGAAGAAGAAGATTTCTTGTTTGGGTTTTTGCTCCAAAAAAATGTATTTTGAAAATAAAAGACATAACGAAGACGTGTTCGTTACGTGTCTCGGTTTCAGGTGTACGTGCTGAAGAGGCCTCATGTGGACGAGTTCCTCCAGAAAATGGGGGAGATGTTTGAATGTGTCCTCTTCACAGCAAGCTTAGCCAAGGTTGGTTCCCAGCTGCTTTGACAGTTACAGTAATACTTCTGTTCATTTGCTGTGTGCTGCTCAACCTGATGCGCTTTGGCCTGTTTAGTATGCTGACCCTGTGGCGGACCTGCTGGACCAATGGGGGGTGTTTCGCGCCCGTCTCTTCAGGGAATCCTGTGTTTTCCACAGAGGAAACTACGTCAAAGACCTCAGCCGACTGGGCCGAGAGCTCAGCAAAGTCATCATCATAGACAACTCACCTGCCTCTTACATCTTCCACCCTGAGAATGCAGTAAGTTATTTTTTTAAAGAGATTTTTGATCTAAAACATACAGATTCAAAGTCATTCAGTCTTGGTAGCAGGAAGTAGAACACTGTGGAAAAGTCTTGAACCACGCCTCGTTTGTGCATATTCTGCTTCCAAGGAACCGGATTTTCTTGGAATTTTTTTAAGTGGTCTTGAGCAATAGTTCTTCAGGCTTTCAAGGTCTTTCCTTTGGACATTTGCTGTTTTATCAACAGTCCAGTCCTTGTGTCTGACCATTTTGTTCTTTCTTCAGAAGTAGGCGCCAGTTTTTTATCCACACATAACAGATAACTTAGCAAAAAACTCTTGTTCACATTTGTTCACATTTCTTTAATTAAATGTATGAAAAATGTCAAAGACAACACAGTTTCACAGACACAAATGAGTATTTTGGCATCGTCTACTAGCTAAAAACTTGGCATATCTCAGCAGTGTGTCATTAAAGAATTTGAGGAAACTGGACAAGAGAAGGATAAAAGAAGAAGAGGCATCTGGCCCTTCAGTTGATGCATCTACTGTTCACTGAAGCGGCTTCAGAAATGGTCTCAGTGGAAAAGTGGCTGTCAAGAAACCATTCATAAACGAGAAAACAGGAATAAAAGACAAATTATGCAAGAACTGGACTGAAAATCTGTCAAGGCCGAAAGGCCGGTAGGTGGGAGTGGACCCAAAAGCAGACTCAATGGACACACGAAAAATGATTTTTAACAAACTTTGAATGCAAGGGAAAGGAAGCGTGGGAACGTAGTATGAGTCCCCGGTGGTCGATATCCAGAGCTTGGGTGCAACGGCCAAAGGTAAGAATGAGGTAAGGGGTCAGGCTTATAGGGATGAAAGGTGGGGAGAGTAGCCGAGTGAGTGTCTGGAAGGGTGTGTGAAAGGGTGAGGTTCCAACCTTATGCTTCCAGTGATCCAGAGATGATGGCAGGCAGGTGTGAGCGGTGAGTCCAAGGAGTAAAGTTGCAGGCTGGATCGGTGAGTTGTGACTGAAGCAACTAGCGTCCAAGTGAATACGCAGCAGGTGGGTTAACTTGGAGTCTTCACAAGCAGACTGAGGACACATTGAGATAGGGGTTAGTACCAGGGAATAACATGATGAGAGACAAGGAGGCCTAGTTACCACAGCGAGGTAGCTAACGAACTGGCGAAGACTGGAGAACTAGGCTAGTCTTAAATACTGCTTTGCTGATTGCCGTCGATGGGATGCAGGTGGGAAGAACAGGTGAGGAACCCGAGTGCAGTAAAAGCATAACTGGATCCAAAAACGCACAGTGGAACACTTTGGGTCATGGATTGGCCTCCGCAGAGCCTGGACCTCAGCATTATTGAAGCACTGTGGGATCATCTTGACAGAGAACAGAACAAAAAAAAGGCAGCCAAGATCCAAAGAAGGGCTTTGTATGTCCTTCAAGAAGAAGGAAGCTTGCCTAAAAGATGACAGACTATGTTGAAGAACAAAGGCGGTCAAACAAATATTAACTTTCAAGCTTGTTAGAATTGCATATATTCATTTATAATGTATTTCCACGTATGTTTGCACGCTTCATTTAATCACTGCACCTATTTTCCGGGCAAAATATAAAGAAATTAGAGGTGGCGCAAGACTTCTGCACAGCACAACTCCTTTTCACATGATCCCAAAACATGTGACATCTTAAGAAGTTTTAAGGTTAAGCTAAATGGCGGCTACAATTGCACTTGTTGCCTAATCAAGAACGGGGTCAAAATACACTGCTGTGATGGAAATAAGTTACTTATGAAGTGATTATTGATGTCGATGATTGTATCTGTAAGACACTGTCAGGGTTTTTAATAATAATAATAATAATAATAATTTAATAATAATCACCATTGTTCTCGTGCCAGAGGCAGTGTTCCCAATATTATGAGAGTTCTCAGCTCTGTGGAGAAGTTTCTGCTGCTGCCACTCTTTGATTTATTTCCCTCATTAATTATTTACACAAAACACCCCGACTGTAATGCAACATTTAAGCGTCTATGGTATCTATTGTCAGCCACTTCTTCCTTCTTTAAATAAGATCGGTCTCTCTTTTTCTTTCTGATTCTAATGTAAATGTGGGTGTGTTTTTGTGCCACAGGTCCCAGTGCAGTCTTGGTTTGATGATATGACAGACACGGAGCTTCTGGACCTCATTCCCTTGTTTGAGGGTCTCAGTAAAGAGGAGGATGTTTACAGTCTATTACAGAGCCTAAGGAACAGGTAGCAGACAGCCACTCCAGCTGATCCCTCCTGCCTAAGCCCTGCTGAACAGAAGCCTCCCCTCTCTGCCACGGCCCCGTAGCCCGGCTCCAGTCCTTCGAAGAGCTCTGGGAAGCTTCCCCAGTTGGAGGATTTCAGGCAAATGATCTACTCTTGATCAAAATAAAACAACAGTATGGATTCTCTGGGTTCTTGGACTCTTTGTACAGGACTCTAGCTGAAAAAAGATTCTATTACTGTATGTACATATTAAATGTTTCTAAGCGCAAGACAAGCATAAAGTAATTTTTCTATCAGAGAGAGGAGGTTTTACTATTCCAAGTATTTTAGTTACCGAAAAACGATCAAATACACAAATTTTTCGATTTTTGTTTCGTTTGTTTCTGAGAATCGATGACCTGTTGGGTTTTTGTGTTGAGCAGTGCTATGCAGGCCGTCGTTCCTCGTTTGATTTTTTTTTCGTTCTAACCAACTGTGATTTAACTTCTCTTTACAGAATGAAGTGCCTTCATTACTGTGCTGATTTTCTTGTGTCGGGTTATGGGGTGAGCATTTTTATGCTGCATATTTAGTCAATTCTCCAAAAGCGTATTCACTGAATCTTTAAATTGAAGTTGAAAATGAGTCTTTGATGACGTCATTTAATCCAAAAGAAGTGAAATGAACACTTCCTGGATTAGAGGGGGAAGAAAAGTAGCTTGTTAGTCCTGGATGACTTTTGATTTTCTGTTATGTAGCATTGAATTGTTAAATTTACCAAAGGTTTTTACAATTCAATGTGATTTGTGACTAAACAACATCATTTTATCCTCGGCAGTGACTGTAAATTGATGATTCTTGAGGACATTGAAACGCAGTTTAGGTAACTGAAGAAAAAAATAATAATATCTGTGACGACATCACTGTCCACCAATAAATGTTTGAGGAAAAAAAATGGAAAGATTAGCTTAGATATATAAAATTATATTTATTCGGGGAAAGGGTCCTGGGTGCATTGTAAAGAATGCTGTTGAAATCGTACTGTACAACGTTATTAAAGTTGCAAGTTTGCACACTGTCTGTGTCTGTCGTGGAGTAATGATTCTCACAAAACTCACTTAATGGCAATAACTGTGATAATCATTTTACAATGAACTAAAGGACCAGCGCATAGCATTTAGCGATGCCTGAATTCAACTAATGCATGGGCTGCACACACCAGCTTTCGCGAACCTCTGTAACAACCCATGTCCTTAACACAGAAAAAAAACATTAATAAGCCATATGAACAAAGCCCAAAACACAGCAATGTGACAGCTACAGTAAAAAAATGAAAACACAAAATATATGAACCTAAAAACATGCAGAAACATATGAACACTTCATTGATTACAATGTTTACCTGCTCATTAATGCAAATATCTAATCAGCCAATTACATGGCAGCAAGTCAGTGGATGTAGGTATGTAGACATGGTCAAGGTAGCCGCTGAAGTCCAAACCGAGCACCAGAATGAAGAAGAAAACTGATTTAAATGGCTGAATGTGGCATGGTTGTTGGTGCTGTGTTGATGCCTCAGGAGAGTAGATTGATGGACTTCTCTGAGCAGACAGGAAGGCAACAGTAAGTCACAACCACTTGTTATAACAAAGGTTTTCAGAAGAGCATTTCTGAATCTAGCAGCACATGGGCCACAGCAGCAGACAAGCACACCAGGTAAGAACGGGAAGCCCACAGTTCACACAGGCTCACTGAAAGCGTACACTGGAGGCGAACTGACTCTTCCCATTGGCCAGAAAACATGACTCTAAATGAATGATAATGTGCAGATAATGATGAAAGTCTAGATATAGCATAGTTTATCAGTGCTGTATTTAACGTTAGCAGAGGTGACAAGGATTTCTAATATTTTAGGAAAAATTTTGAAGCAACTGAAGGAAGAGTTTGCCTTAAACAATTTTTCATTTGAGTTGAAAATCTCACCAGAAGAATCAGTGCTGGAGCTCTGTGCACTGTAGTTTGTGACATTTTAACATGGATGAAAAAGCTCTTAATGATGCTAACTGAAGGAATTGCCAAAACATTCAGTGTTTTCATTTGCAATCAGGTCTTTGGCTCTCACACAGTTTTCTTATTTACAATTTTATTCAAAAGGAACTGATGCTATTGTGTTTTAATCAAAACTGTAAACCCAAGGAAATCCCAAGAAGTTCACACTTGAGCTCCGCTGTTCTCTGCTGTGGCTGCTGGGTTAAGTACATGAATTTATGAGCACGAGCATTTATGAGCTGGTTAATGTGCAACCAAAGAAGAGCTTAGCTTCATGTGATATCTTGATGTGAACTTTTAGCTTCCGCTGGCGTATCAGCCACTTTTACTGCAGCAGTGGATTAGGTATTACCGAGCCCTTTGTACAAGCTTGGAGAGCGCTTGTTTCTTTTCTCCTCAGATATGCAGGGACTGAAGTTCAGTGCAGTGTCTAAGTCATCTTCTGGTCATAATGGAAGCCAAGAGTGAACGAAGAAGTGAGAGGTCAAAGGTAAGAAAAGCTTTAGCTTTCAATTTGTGATCTAAGATGGTTATATAACACTGTAGTGTTCAGACTCGCAGGCAGGGATTGTGTGAGTTATATGACACAAAGACAAGCATAAGCGACGTAACGCTGAACATAAAACAGCGAGATAGTCTGATCTGTGATTTAAGCACCGACTGCAATGCACATTAAGGGGACTTAAAAGATTGCTCACTTACTTTGTAAATGTGTGGGGTACCAGCAGATGCAGGGCTTGGTGGTCTTGGTTGGGAAATAAAAGAGCTTTGATTCTGAAGTGTTTAACAGCAGTCAGCACTCTTTTCAATTCTGATCTATAAGATCTGGAAGATTCTTGCACTCTTTATTCTCAAGGGTGTTCTTAACTTTCTAAGGAACCAACCCATGATTGTTTCATTACATTAACTTCAACGTACGGCTTAGGAATAATGTTTCCCCCCCTTCTATTACTGTGGAAATGACTTTGGGTGAAACTTTTAATATCTCTGCACATTTTGCAAATAAATGTAAGCACAATCTGCCAACACCTTCTCCACTGGAAGCTTGAACGCCCGGTGCTGTAAACCTTCGATAATGTCAAGCGTTCTTCAAGTGTCGGTGTGAGTACGCGCAGAACGAGAGATTTAGCCACAGAAAAGCGTCTGACTCCTTTCCAAAAGCACTCGGAGCTCCCTCAGTCCAATTCCCCCATCTGCTAGTTGTAACGGTTGTAAAATGAATAATTGGTGTCAAGTGGTCCCTGTAATGCCCACTGTGCTGCTGAGGACTCAGACATAAACACAACTGTGATTGGCTTCTATAAATCACAATCAGGACACCGAGTGAAGCTGGGGTCTGTCTCAGTGGCTTTTTTTGACTCTGTGGTGTATTGTGCAACACACACACACACCTCCCTTTCCACCTGCATCAAGTGTGACAGCTGGGAAGAAATGAGAGGGGGCGTATCTAACACCGTGGCACTGTAAATATCGAGATAGAAGATGGCAGGTGTGTTCATACCTGGGTGTGGTAACAAATACATCCAGCCCTCTATGCCTCGCACTGCAGCTTGCGCATAAGAGGAAAAGGCAGCGGTATCTTATAAATACAGACCTTTTACATAAATCACTATCTCCACAACTTGTAGGAACCAGCCAGGACTTCACCACGGCAGTCACAGGACAACGTAAGACCCATCCTACCACTATTTCTTTGAGAATATCTACCTTGTTTTCTGCTTTGTGAACACACCTCTATTTATTTTCACTGACTCAGTGAAATCTGGAAAGAATAACATCTTTATTATCACATTTAAGGATTTTATAAACACAGGTTTGGGGGGGCGGGGGGTTAACCAACGTGATTTTACACGAGTTGAAGAAATACGTACGGTGCAGCATTAACAAAAGTGATTGTGTATGCTCCACCAAAGGACAATGCAGGTTAATTGATAGGGAACCAGTCTTTCCTGTCTGAGTAATAGAAGCAATGCCGCTCGCAGGTTTATCTTTCCTGTGTTATTTGCTCAAGTTTTCAGTAATTGTTTTAAGCAGGGATCAGATTGCACAGTTTATTTATTTTTTATAACAGGGATTTGCAACCACAGCTGAAGCCACTGATAACTGGCAACCAGGCGTGATCGTAGTTGAGGTGATTACTTTCAATTAATCAAATATCACAGTGGCGTCACTTCTTCATCTAGATGTTTGTTTTTTATCCGTATGTTATAAGGAATAATCTCTGTGTACATACACTTTAGAGTGACTTATGTATGTATGTATGTATATATATGTATATATTGTACTATTCTTAGTTAGTGTATTGTCTGTCTTGTCTTAATGTTGGTTTAAAATGTTTAAAATGGAGCACTGTAACAAAAAATAATTTCCCCCAGGGATCAATAAAGTATTCTGATTCTGATTCTGATTTACAGCTGAATGTGTGCTCTGTTTGAAATGGAACTATGGCATTCCTGTCAAACTCTAATGGGTAATGGACAAACGTGCAGGGCAGGGTGTACCTTGTTTTTAAGAAAAGGGAAATAAAATTTGGGGACTACGTTTTAACAATAAAATAATAAAATAAATAAAAAGAATGACATTTAAATATGTATCGTGTTTATTTCTCAAGCTGTTAACAGACGCCCTCCAGTCTCATGGCTGATAGTAAGGTCACAGGGCACGACCAAAGTTTAGCACGAGTTTACAGACACTTTGAGATTGCATTACTTTTTAATTTAGACAAAGTTGAGTTGAAAAGCAATAAAACACACCCTGTTTTTGTTCACTGGACTTGGGTCATTATGTTTGATAGAGCCCTCCCTGTTTTGACCTTTATCTAGATAAATTTTTGCTGTGTAGCTGATATTTCAATCGACTCATTACGATTAGATATTTTAAGTCTTTATTTTTTTGTCAATATTACACCTGTACTTCACATGTACATTTGGCAACATACACTTTTGGCACCTAGCTCTACTGGATGCCTAAACTTGGATTATCTCTTTTTAAAGCTGCTCATATGCAACCTGATTAATTGCTTTATAAGCTAACATAAGACGTTAGCTTAAAATTAGCTATTTAAGCTCAAGTGCTGTCTCTTCATTTTCAAATCTCACCTGCTTCTTTTGTTTGTCGAGTGTGTGTCACCGCTTTATCAGAAGACATAAATACCAGAGCCTGTTAATAATACTATAAAGGGTGTGGTTAACTAAGTGTTCATCTCACACCACCAATCACTGCCCGGGTAGATATTTTATTACTAGACCCGGAACAAAGATTAGAGCTAGTACATGTAATAGTGCTTTATATTACTTCTCCCAAGAATAAGTTCAACCACATCTACTCCAGCTGTTTCACAATGTCATATTACGGCATCAGTGTTGCAAGTGCGTTCATAATATGTTCTTGTTTCCATACAGCCTAACGTTGGCTCAGCTGGTGATACTGTTTGCTTATCAGTGCTGTTGTTTCTGATATCCCAGTCAAGAGGCTGTTAAAGCACCGCTGATTGCAGGGCTTGTATTTTCCTACAGCACCAAGCTGATACTCATTAGCAGGATTAGAGGTGCTTTGCTGTCAGAGAGTCAGTCCTTTGAAAGCATTCACTTGTCATTTTGGAGACATCTGTTTCCAGTGAAAAGACAGCGATGCCAGGATGAGTAAGAGTGAGGAAGAGGTCTCTAAAGTGAAATATTTTTTCTGTTCAAGTGCTGTTTAAGGAGTCAGGAGTGAACATGTATTTTTCAGTGTGCTAGTTAGTCTTCTAAGTATTTATCTCTTCAGAGTTTGTGCTAATTTTATATCATTTAGCTGTTTTATTTTACGTTACTTTTTTCTTCTTCTTTTTGCAAAAAACAGTTAAAAACAAACAAACAAACAAACAAACAAACAACAAGCTTCAATTAATTCTTATAGTTTTTACTCTTTTTCCACAGCTAGCTAGCTATTACCTTTTGCTGAAAAGCTAAAACAAGCTAGTGGTGGTGTCAGTGGACAACATGAATAAAAAGGAGATCATTATGTAACAGGGATAGCTTATTTTAATCACATGGCAAAACACAGTGAAAGGTCCATAGACTGTAGCCACCATGATGTCATCTCTTAAGTTCTGCTTTTTTACCCTCTTTTTTTTTTTTTTTTTAAGGCCTTGACCATATTTCTTGTTGTAGTTAATCAGTTTATGCTAACGCTATCAACCTGGTTTGATTAATAAGGTGTATGCATTAATGACTGTGTATTAAGTGGGTTGCTAGCCTTGGCTAACAAAAATACAAGCTTAAAAGCAAGTGCAGAAAACCTGTTATTTTTAAGGTTTTTTTTTCTTTTTTACTACAGTCAAACAGTGAACGTCCTCTTTCATTTTAAATATTGTCATAATTTACTAAATGAATATTGCCCTGTGTTGTGCTTAAACTAACAAGATCATAAACTCATTAGAAGAGTGTTTACTACAGTAGTAAAACCATGTCAGAGGTTTCTTGTGGACATTACAACTTCTTTTCGCATTATGAAAAGCTGCCCCCTTCTGGCCATTAAAGCTAGTGTAGGTTAAAGGCACTTACATGTACAGTGACATCATTTTGTAGAGCTAGAAGTTATGTCCGTCTTATATCTTATAAACATATCTTATAAACAGATACCTGGTTATAACCGTGGTATAACAAAAAAACTTTTCGCTAAGCGTCTTAACAGCTTGCTGTCACATTGTGGCATAAAGATGTGTTTTTTGGGGCATTAACAAATGTGATCACACAGTATGTAAACCCTAGCAAACCTACATTCAAATTTAACAGTGAGAATATTTTGAGTTTAATCTATAACAATTAAGACATTAGACGCTCATCAATAGTTTTCATGCAAATATGTAAACTGTTTGTGACAATAACGATAAGTACACATGGTTTTTTTTTTGTTTTTATGTTTACAGTTCAGCAGAATGATGAATGAAAACAATAATGCATTTAAAAATGTCCGCCGAAAGCCAGGCCTTCAGATATGGACCGTCAATGTGAGTCTAAAATGCATTACACGCACCCTATGTTGTTGACATTGTTGTCCACACTGCTGAGCTTTATGTAGAGCTGCGGCATGTTGAAATCTCATATTTGTTTGAGGTCTAAATGGTTGTTTTCTTTACTCAGAAAATGCAAATGGATCCCGTTCCACCTCAGGCCTTTGGCAATTTCTTTGAGGGAGACTGTTACATAGTTCTATATGTGAGTAAAAAACTGGGTGATTTCATGAGATATATAAATATATATACATATATCTCATATATGTGTCACCTCTCATGCTTTTCATTATTATCATCAGATAAGTGAGAATAAAGGCTCCCGCCAGTCTGCTGATATCCACTACTGGGTTGGAAGAACCTCCTCTCAGGATGAACAAGGTGCTGCTGCCATCTACGTCACCCAGCTGGACGAGTACCTGGGTGGGAGTCCGGTCCAGTACAGGGAGGTGCAGGGCTACGAGTCACCGCGGTTCAGGAGTTACTTCAAAAATGGCCTGATGTGAGTTCCCGATGAAGGCAGCTGGTGTTTGAACGAAAGGGGGATGGTGATATACTCAAGGGAATGAGTCTCTCCTATACACACACAAAAACACACACACTTATGTTGTAATCTTCCTGAGTCATGGCTTACAACACTAATCCGCCTCTATGAAATGATTATGACACAAAACACACTTGTTTTCTGAGGCCTAGCATTAAAAAACACCAATTTCTCTTGCCCAATTTATTAACCTTTAACCTTTAGTTGCATGTTTGCTTTATGGTTATACAACCTTAAGGAAAAAAATCATACTGATAAGAAAAAAAATGTTCCTTTAATTTTTTATTTTTTTAAATGTCCATTCAGTTTCAAGTCACTGGGTTTATATTTTTATTGCACTTGAACTTTGGTAAAGTAAATTTCTCTCTCCACAGCTACAAGAAGGGTGGAGTGGCCTCAGGTTTCAACCACGTTGAAACAAACGCCTACAACGTCCTGCGACTGCTGCATGTCAAAGGGAGGAAGGATGTCACAGCAACAGAGGTATTCAGAAAACAAATTAAAGGGATATGAAAGGCTTTACGAGAGTCTTACTCCCTGCCTCCCTCTGCTGCTATCAGTGGCTTCACACAGTCACGCTACAGAGAGGTGTTGGCACCCCTCCTTAAACAGATTATGTCTTGTTGTCGTAGCTGTCTGTGTAGGTGTTAATTGCCCGAGGGGTGGTATGAGAGTGTGATTAATTAATACGCTGTATTGTTTCAGACGGAGTGTACTGTCCGTTTGAATGTTATTCAACTCTCCACTGTGTTTGCGTTTGTGTGTGTTTTTCCATGCAGGTGGAGGTGTCATGGAGCAGCTTTAACAAAGGAGATATATTTCTTCTGGATATCGGGAAAGCTATAGTGCAGTGGAACGGTCCCCAGAGCAACAGAAGAGAGAAGCTCAAGGTAATCCTCTGCACTGATTGGTTACAATAAGCAGCGGCACGAGAAGTAGTCAGATCTCGTGAAAAATACACACCGTGGAAGCAAAGTGGGAAAGAGGAAAGAAATTTAACATTTTACGAACAGAAAGGTGATAAAATATGTCTGCACTAAGGCTGTTTCTGACAAAGGGAGAATGACTAGATTGACTAATGACTAATTTAATTTATTCTTGTGTGTCAAGTGAATTTTATGCACTCAGGGCCTCGGTTGCATTAGAAAAGACATAGATGGTGTGCCAAATCAAACGTGCATCCATCCACTGTGGCAAACCCTTGGAAAATTAAGGAGCACTGAAAGTGTCTGTAAAGTGATTTTTTTTTTAATTCTTGAAACCTGTCGGCTGTGGATCTTCAATAATGTACACCACTGCCTTTAGCAGTAAGCTTCCAGTTGTCTGTGAAATTGGAAACATGCATGCAAGAAGAGTTAGGAAGGAATGGTAACAACAGAAAAGGAAAAACCAACAGCTTTTATTTATTTATTTTGAAAAGCGCTATATAAGAATCAGTCCATTTACCTTGGCTGTAGCTCATCGGGTAAAACAGGTGGTTTGATTTCCGCCTGCTCCCGTCTGCATGCAAAAGTTTCCTTGGGCAAAATACTGAACCCTGAGTATCAATGTTAGATGAACATTAGGCACAGAAAAAGTGCATGTGTTTGAATGAGATATGTGTACTATATAACAACCAGTTCTTTTACAGTGATAGTGTAGATTTCTGTGTAACACATGAACCTTTTAGTCGCTGTTGTCACTGAGCGAACAGTTTTCACTTTTGTGTCTTTGTTTCTCCCTCCGTCTTTCCAGGCGGTCTTGTTGGCTCAGGACATCCGGGACAGGGAACGCGGAGGTCGCGCTCAGATCGGTGTTGTGGAGGGAGGAGATGAGCGGAGCTCGCCCGAGCTCATGAAATTCCTCACGACTGTGCTCGGACCAAAACCGGCACAGCTGAAGGAGGCCACTTCCGATGATGTGCCTGATAGTGCGCAGAAAAACAGTGTCCGACTCTACCAGTAAGTACATTATGCTTCCACTGCATTGATCACACAAAACTGTAGAAATTGATTTCAACTATTTACCAATATCACACCCATTTTTCCTGATTTTCTTCCTCAGCGTTTATGACAATAGTGGGAATCTAGTGATTCAAGAAGTGGCCAAACAACCTCTGACACAAGATCTTCTGAAATCCTCGGTAATTAGTGTTCACTCTTTGAGAATGTTCCCTAGATGCTAGTATTAAAAAAGAAAAGTGGTTCAGTTTCAATGTTTTTTTTCTTTTGGGGTTTCAGGACTGTTTCATTCTGGACAACAAAGGGTCTAGTGTGATGGTCTGGAAAGGAAAGAAGGCCTCCAAAGAAGAGCGACAAGGAGCTATGAATCGGGCACTGGTGAGTATACAGAATGACGACACCAAGGATCTCTTAGTGCCTCCTGTTCTGTCTTATAAATTAATTGTGTAAATTTTAATCCTCTTTCTCCTTAAATGATTTTGGATAAATATAAATTCATCGTTTTATTCTTTTCCAAGGATCGCATGGCTTGAGGGGATTATCTCAGTTTTTATGTGCTTTTTTGGAGATGTTTTTCATTACAAGCTTTGTCCATCAATCTTTTCCTCCAGAGCTACATTAAAGCAAAAAAGTACCCAGCCAGCACCACTGTGGAGGTGATGGCTGAGGGAGCAGAGTCAGCAATCTTTAAGCACCTGTTCAAATCCTGGACAGACAGAGACCAAACTCAGGGCCTGGGTACCACACACAACGTTGGAAAGATAGGTAGCCTCTTCAAATCTACTGCTCAATCCACTTCTTCAAAATTAATTCCACCACAGTTAACATATTATCTCTTGATATGCTATTTAATCTTATTTGCTGATATTATGCTGTTCATCATTAACTCTGAACATTTTGTGTCCGCACAGCTAAGGTCGACGACGGAAAGTTTGATGTGATGGAGCTCCACGCGCGCCCTGAACTGGCAGCACAGTACCGCATGGTGGACGATGCATCAGGAGACGTTAAGGTGGGAAAACATATGCAGGAATCTACGAATACAGACAAACACAGTGCAGATACTTTTCAGACTTCAGTTGCATTGTTGCGTGTTGTTTGAGCTGTTATTTGCCTGTGTCAGGTGTGGTGCATTGAGAATTTGGAACTGGCTGAAATAGACCCAAAAACCTACGGGCAGTTTTATGGAGGAGACTGCTACTTGGTGCTGTATTCATATAAAAGAGCAGGCCAGCAGCAGTACATACTCTACATGTGGCAGGTCAGTGTCAAACCAATCTATGCTTCCTTGTTCTCCATTTCCTCCTGCTTCTGGAAAACTGACAAGCACCTTCAATGTGTAAACTTCTTTTCTTTGTTACTTCAGGGACGCCATGCCACAAGCGATGAGATTGCAGCAAGCGCCTTCCAGGCTGTCAATATTGATAACAAGTACAATGGAGCCCCAGTTCAGGTCAGAGTGGTCATGGGAAAGGAGCCCCGCCACTTCCTGGCTATTTTCAAAGGCAAACTTATCATTTTTGAGGTATGATTTTATGATTTTCACACTGAAAATGATTCTTAACTGGATTAGAAATTCTCACCAACGACTAAAAGTAAAATATCTGTATGGTTTGTGTGTGAAATTATGACACATGGAAGTAATCCAGCAAAATCTAAATTAAAAATGAGATTTACATGGATACAATAAAAGTATCCATGATGCAAAAATAGATCGATCAAAGCTTTAAATAAAAGTTGAAAGAAACTGGAAACTCAATGTGTGTGTGTCTAAAGGGAGGAACAGGTCGACCTGGTGTGGTTAACCCTGCCAAAGATGCCAGGCTCTTCCAGGTGAGAGGGACTAATGAGCTGAATACTAAAGCCACAGAGGTGGTGGCCAGGGCCGCTTCTCTAAGCTCCAATGACGTCTTCCTGCTGAAAACTGACAATATCTCCTACCTGTGGTATGGAAAGGTATCTATCATGGGGCTGTGTAGCAGGCTTTGAAATAACATAAATATTAGTTTAGTTTGTATTTGACACATTAAAACCATTTCCCCCCTGATTTCTGCTTCTATCCCAGGGCTGTAATGGGGATGAGAGAGAGATGGGGAAAGCGATGTCTGATGTGCTGTCCAGGCATGAGAAGCGGGTGGTGATGGAGGGCCAGGAACCTGCTGAATTCTGGATAGCTTTGGGTGGAAAGGGCTCCTATGCCAGTGACAGGAGGTAAAATATTTTAATGGCAGCATTGCTTTTGCATATTGTGACAAAAATAGGATATTTTTGGCTTTTCGCTTAACAACACACTCCAGCAGTCAAGTATTTACAATGAAGGGCGCTCAATCTGGGTCCAGAAAGTAAAAATATAGCCAGTAATAACAAATTAGCAAGGACTTCAGGATTCATCCAAAAAGGCCCTTTAATCATATTTTGAACCACTTCCAAGCTTACATTAAATCTGCCTGGATTATTTTTATACCAAGGTCAGTGGAATATGCCCAATGTCATCATACACAGAGAGAGAGAGAGAGGGAACATTATCTGCTGTTACGACAGGACGGCCTGTGTCATTTCAGATTTGAGAGGGAGGAGCCGCTTCACAGTCCCCGGCTGTTCGAATGCTCCAATCAGACGGGGCGCTTTAAGATTACTGAGGTGGATGATTTCGCCCAGTGTGACCTAGATGAAGATGACGTCATGTTGCTGGACACCTGGGAAGAGGTAAGCAATCAAAGGAGCTGAAATCAGTCAGACCCTGCCGTTGATTTGGGGCCTGCTTCCTGTTTATGAGCATCTCATCAGGAAGATTGTGAAACTCACTGCACATTAACTGATAGATATGAAACAAACACTATACTGTATTACACAAGCTTATTGTTTCCTCCTGCTATGGTTTCTAATTAATCTATACTGGTGGTAGTGACTCAGCTCAAGGTTATTTATGTAATACTTCACACGGAAAGACAGAATCAAGCCTAAAGCTCAGTTTTCGGCAACTTACGCAGCAGACTCTTTGAGTAATTTGTCTCTTTTTCTTGTTTTCTGTCTCTGAATCTCAGCTTTTCTTGTGGATCGGTAACTCCTCCTATGAGTATGAGACCAAAGAGGCGTTGAACAGCGCGCGGGATTACCTGAGAACTCACCCGGCTGGACGTGACCCTGACACGCCCATCGTCTTTGTCAAACAGGGATACGAGCCGCCCACCTTCACCGGATGGTTCAACGCGTGGGATCCCCACAAGTGGAGCGTGAGTTTATAACAGTTTCCCCTTTCATCTTTCTGGGATGCCATAGAAAGCATGATCAAGGCATTACAAATTCCCATTACAATAACATGCAATCACTTGATTTAATCATCTCAGAAGCTAGGAACAACTTACAAACACAAGTGGATGATTCAATGGATTAATTGAAGATGAAAAAGTCACTGCACGAATACTAACCTTTACTGTGACGAATCTTGGTTCCGTTGATCTTCTGAACAGGGAGGCAACTCCTATGAGGAGATGAAAAACAAGCTGAGTGATTCAACATCTATCTCACAGATCACTCTAGTAAGTGACTCACACTGATGTGCTAATATCACAGCTGTAATACCTACTAACATCTTTAATGTCATATATAGTAGTGTTGCTAACCTGTGAATGTCTACATCTCGGAGGTTTACCTTTGTTTTTTTGTGAAACTGCTTCTGTAAAACTTCTCTTTCGTGGCTGCAGGACCTGAAGAACACTAAGCTGAACAAGACTCCCGCTGGGGGAGGTGGGGGTGGTTACAGAGCACCTGGGGGCCCCCTAACTTCTCCGCCACCCAACAAGGCCTACTTCCAAGATGAAACAGATTTTTTCCCCAGACCCTCTAGTCCTACAAGACCCCAGTCTGGGATGTCCTCCTCCTCTGCTAGTTCCTTGTCCTCTTCTGGAGCTGGAAAGTTTTTTGACCCTGAGCTCCTCGTCAACAAGACTCCAGACGAGCTACCAGAAGGAGTGGATCCCACCCAGAAAGAGGTGTGTGTGCGGATCAATTATAAATGGTAAAAATCAGCATTTGATTATTGTTTAACGTCCTTCTCAGGGCATTAATTAACACCTTTAAAAGTGACGTCTAATCATGACAATTACAATTTAGGAGTTATTGTTTTGGGGTTTTTTTTTTTTTTAGTAAAATTAATCACGTCACCATAAAAAAGACTTCAATATGATTCGACACCTATTTAGTATGTTTACCTGCAGCAAAGCAGATTTTTGTGACTGTACTGCCATTTCAAGTCAAAACTCCACAGCCACCAATCGTGTGATATGTTGTTTAGCATACACAAAAACATAATATGCACTTGTTAGCAAGTTAAAAGTATTATTTCCATCAGATGGGATTCTTTCATTGCTCTGAATTTGGATTAACATGTAGTAATATAAATGAAGCTATTTTAATCATTAACTGAAAAGGTCACTAAACAGCTGCAAATGGATGAAAAGTGACTATGAAGAGATTAAAAGTGACTGCAGAGCCACATAAAATGCTTCTAGCGAGTCATGAACAACCACAAAAAGACACAAAGACACTACAAAGAGACAATATGGGGCTTTCCAAGAAAGGGTGGGAGGCCTTGCGATTGTCTGTGCCTAGAGCTCTGTGTACAGCAGAGGTCAGTCTAACCGTTTCCCATCCTCTGTGCTCCGATTGGCAGGATTATCTATCTGACCTGGACTTTGAGAACCTGCTCAGTACTACTCGCGCAGACTTCCAGCGCTTGCCAAAGTGGCGCCAGAATGATTTAAAGAAGAAAGCAGGAATTTTCTGAGAAGGAATCACACATCTCCAGCCTGTCTGCTGAGAAATCCGCTTGTAAACCAAACTATACGGCAGCATTTTAGCTTCTGACCTTCATCTCAATATTTTGTTTTGCTGTCAGAGGGGTAAAAAAAAAAATCGACCAACATCCCAAGTTGTTTAGATTTAACAAATGGTATTTATGATTATGACCATGAATGTAACTTGTAATAATTTAAAGGACGTGACTGACATTTCTAAGATTTTTTTTTTTTAATTATTCTGCTTTATATTTATCTGTATATTTTTTTTTCATTTCATGTAGATCATACTGAGATGATGTTTTGCTAGCATTTTATCTGAATCACAAATGCAGTGAATAAACAGAAAACCATTGACCGGGGATTCGGGGAGTGGTTTAATTCAAGAGCTAGTGCAAAAATGTGTGAACTGTAAAAATGCTGTAGAGCAATGGAAGACACAAATAAACCATGACACAAAATATTAGAACTTGTTTCAGGCACCATCTTGAAAATCTTCTATATACAATGCTGGGAGCATTCATAATGCATTCATAATGAAAGGACAGACGCACACAGACATACTATGTCACTTGCTATCAACATTGTCATTATCACTCTTATGGCATCAAGATGGACAAAGTTTAAATCAAGTCTCATAAGACTATCCCGTAAAGCTGCTGAGAATCTAGTATATTTCAGGTGGGATTCACACAAAACTCACATAATAATGCACATTAATTATTAAACTTCTCCAGAGAATGGTGAATGTAGTTGGCTACTTTTCCTCTCATTCACTTCATTCTTTCTTTGTCACTTTAAAGGCTCTCCACCAAACCGGCTTTTAAAAAGCTAAAATTATACAATGATCTAAAAGTGTCACACACTTGTGAGTCAGCAGCTGTGGTATGTGAAAAAACAAAACGAAAACTAGAGTCAAGTTATTTAGCTTTAAAATCTGGGTTTTAAATTCCATTAGAATTTACAAAAGACGTGAAGTTGGTTTGGTTTTCTTTTTGCAAACAGGCCTACGGGGCATCCAGGAGCATGAGGTGCACAAACAGACTGGCAGAAGAAATGTTGTCCCCTCTCTTGTTGAGCACCGGGACATGGCGATATCCTGGAAAACAGGAAGCGAGCGTGAGCTTTGTCAGCAAAATGAGAAGCTGGTTCATAAAGCGTAGCACAAAAAAAAGATGCAAAACAATCACTTGAGCTATGATTTGCATGAATTTGTATCTGTTTAATTTCTGTGTTGTTGCGGTCCACACAGAAGAATTAAATAAGGGAGAAAAAGTATGTTTAAAGTGGAACTAAAGAAGATAATAATGTGATAATAGTGCACAAAGAAAGTCAAAGCTGTGAGCGAGCACTGAAAAGAGAGGATACTGTCTTAACACTTCGATATTTTAATTACCGCACAGACCATTTCAGTCATCGGCCTCTTCGAAAATTAGATTGTTGCTAACTCTGATTTGGTGTCGCGTTGCTTTATCGTGTTAGCTTCATCAAATCTGTGAGCTTTCTTACCGTTCTGTATGCTGGTGAGTGGCAGACAGTACTGCCCGATAAAATCGTTCTGCGATGCTGTGTCGTGGTCCTCCAACAGAAATCGCACCAAGGCCAGCTCTGGCACACTGATGTCAAACTGGAATTTCTTATTCCACATAGGCTTGAATCCTGCAGGGACGAATATCTGTGTTTTTCTAAATTCTTTGAAAAAGTGTTTGACAAGTAAGTGCACTTATGCTATACTTGCACATATAACGCTCACCATTATTTTCAATGTGATGTGTTTCCTTGCTGGCATTGTCTGCCTGGACACCATGGATCTCCACCTTGACCAGAGGGTCTACAATGGATTTTTGCTTTTCCTTGTTGATTTTAGGTAACTGCTGAGCTGAGATCACCTGTTGAATTGTGAGAAAAAAATGCACAGACACGATCACGTGACAGTCCGACTACAGCCTATGTTCAGATCTGATTAGATATCTACAGCATGATGTCCAGCTTCCACAGCACGCTTCGATGCTTTCACCACCAGCATGATGATTAATCTGTTTATCAAGTGGTGGCATAATCAGTGGTTAAAAAAGGCTAAAAATCCACTTTCTTTATTTTAAGTGCTACTAGCTACTGTGCAGATCATAACTAATAATACAAAATGTAATAAAAGGACTTGAGGATTAAAAAACATTAAAAGTAGCTCCTCTTTTCAAGATAGGTTATGTCAGTAACTATTCAGCCAATGATTGTGTTAAAATTCCTTTAAATAGCTGCAAGCTGGCAAACAAAGATAAAAGGATTCAAACTTCTAGGCCAGAGCTAGGGGAAATGATTAAAGCTCATTAGCAAGTTGACACTACGCATACTGTAAACTTTGTGAACTTTGTTTTCTTTTAAAAAGGAAATTCCACAGGACACCGTTAACCTCTAATATAGGCTTATCTTTCTGGAAAAAACTCCCACCATGACATGAAAGATCTTCTTCTTCAGCCACGACCCTTCGGTAAGTGCGTTGGGGTTAAACTGAGAGGACAGGTTTCTCTGAAATTCAGGTTTCAGGATGTAGCCACAGAAGCCGTTAATCAGAAACCGTCCCTGGTTTAAGTGCATCTCCTTGGAGTTAGTCTGGAAGTTCAACGCCACTAAAAACCAAATCAAAGAGGAAAAAGCGTCAAACTGTTTCATTAGTTTTAATTGGTTTACGTTAGTTTGCTTGCTGCGTATTGGAGCACACCTATCTGGCAGCCAACGTTCCACATGGGCACCGGATTATAGTTGGAGGAGTCGGTTCTGGAGCCAGCAGGGTAGATCCTGCTGAGTTTGTCCATGTTGTGGTGCATGAAGGCAGTAGCTACAACAAGTTAAAGCAAATGTTTTTTTTAAACTGTGAGTTCTAGCATGACAGCAAAGAGAGTTAATGCACCGTGCGTTTACCTGAGGTCTCAGCCAGGTTGAATGCTTTACTCTCCTTGAAGGACGACATTTCATAGAAGGCCTGGTTTTCTCTGGCGTGTTCAAAGCTGTTAAAGTGCACGCTCTTACAGTAGATGACGATGTCTGAGAGCTCTTTGTCGAGTTTGATATTTGATTTCTGAAACAAGAACAGAGAGACAAACGTGAAATCTGAAACTGGAAATTGTTATTTCAATTTCTTGTAAATGAGTAAAGAGCCTTTGGCACACCTTTGGTTTTTCTTTCTGGCTATTCTCCTTACACTCTGCAGCTTCGTCCTCCTCAGACACGGTGCCATCCTCTATCACGTTGTTATTGGTGAAGATCGAATCCAGTTTGTTCAGTCGTTTTCCCTTGATGAGGAACTTTCCCTTAAGTGCCTACAAAGAGACACAAAATGTTTTGTTGTGTCATTTATAACACTTAAGGTACACACGGTGCTGTGCTTTGGAAATCAAAGTTGCTTTGCTTAATATAGAAAGGCACACATTTAACTTTGTGACAACAGAGACTGCGTTCCTGATAGTCACCCTCCAAACAGCCAACAGACTAAAGCATAACTTAAATTTGTGTTGAGGCTGAAAATGCCACAGGCATCCACTTCATGGGAGCTGAATTTAAAATATTTTTATTTCCTCTCTCTCTCTCTATTTCTTGTCTTTTTCAGTTGTCAAGGTCTTCCAATCATTTTGCAGCAAATTCCCAAAGTAACACATAAAAGTGGGGGAAATAATGATTTGAGACCCCTGCCGAATTTGTAAGTTTGCGTACTTACAAGGAAATGAACAATCTGTAATCTTTATGCTAGTTTCTTTTAATGGAAAGGGACAGACTGTTATTTTAAAAATCCAGAAAAAGTACAATGAGCAGAAGTTAGAAACTGATTCAGCCGTCATTGAGGGATGTTTTTAATCCCTTTTTATCCTCAACCAAAACGCGATTTAGTACTTAGGTTCTTGTAGTTGGTCACCAGGTTTGCACATATCTCAGCAGGGGTTTTGGCATTCATCTTTACAAACACGCTCTAAATCTTTTAGCTTTCTTCCCAAAAAGTTTATTTTGGTTATCTGGATTTTCTTGTCTCCCACTCCCAATGAGTGACAAAACGTTTCTCGCACTGAAAACCCTACGCCTACTTTTGGGGATTTTCTTACCTGAAATTTTAGCTTTTTGGCAGCTCAGACTTTCAGCTCCCTCTCCAGCTTTTCTGAAGGACTGAGGTCTGGAGACTGGGTAGGCCTCTCCGTGAGCTAATGTGCTTATTCTTTAGCCACTTATTTGTTGCCTTGACATAATGGTTTTGGTCACTGATTTGAATGCTGGGTCATGCCGGAAGACCCATCCTTATATATTTTTTTTATAAATATTCAGGGAAGGAGGTTGTCATCCAAGATTTAATGATATATGGCTCTGTCCATTGGCCCCTCAGTGAAGTGAAGTCATTCTGTACCCTTAGCAGAAAAACAGCCCCAAGCATAAAGCTTCCACCTCCGTGCTTGACTGTGGGGATGGTGTTCTCTAGATCATATTCACCATTTCTCCTGTGGAGAGGTTGGAATGGAAAAAAAATGTTTCTGTGGACAGATGAGCTTTATACACATAAGAACCCAGTCAGTGGGAATCAGCATTGTGGCTGGGTTGTAGGTGATCAACACTTATTTCATGTATGACATGTAAATCTGTTTCTAGCATTTATTATTGTATTGTATTTGGAGACTAAATTCTGTTCACTAGAAGTCTCTGTTATCAAACAAGGTGTTGTCTCAAACACACTCACTCAGCTGTTACAGCAAATCATTAGCTACTCAGTAGGCGCAAAGTGAGACAAGCTTTATCTGAGGCTATAGATCGATGATGTCTTGTATCACATTAGCTTTGTTTCCTAAACAAAACTTGGGTCACGTTAAGGAAAACAGCAAAGTGAGAAATCTGGCACAGTAGCGTGTTAGGAATGAAAATGTTAAGGTGTGGTCTTCCTTTGGTGTTTTTTTTTATTAGGGTAAGGATCCCAAGATGATATATCGTATGTCATTGAATACAGATAATGGGTTCCACACCTCAGGTGATGGGAAGTTAGTTGGCATGGTGTCACCCAGAGGCTTTTTGACCAGAGCGTCACCCAGGAAGAAGACCAAATGACGGGCCATAAGCTTCTGTTGCTCAACTGTACAATGGTTCTCCAGAGACAGAATCACTGGGTACTGGGAAGTCTGGAAAACAAAGGAAACAATGTGAAGGTGAACTTCAGACCTTTTCCAGTTTCTAATGTGTTAAGGCGAGGAAAGGGCTGGGAATTCAATGCGGTCTCCAACATAGGCAGAGTAAAACATCCAAAGTCAGTGAATATCTCACGTACTTTGAAGGCGTAGTCTTTGATGGCTTTGATAACATCTTTGAAGAGCACTTTGGATGTGAGCGTATGGCCATGGTAAATAACAGGTTCTCCATTAGGCCCGTCCCAACAGTCCAGCTCCACGCATCGGCAACTCTTCATCAGCGCTCTGCAAGCAAAGAAAACATTCATGGCCAATTAATGATTTTACATCCCTGAAACTCATGAACTTTGCCTGTGAAAATAGAGAGGTTCCTGCGCTGTGACTTCTGTTCCACCAAAAACTCCTGGATCCCAAAACAGTATTTTATAAAGGCCTAGGAACTACTAGGGTGGTCTAAAACAGGCATGTCAGAACTTCAGTTCAGTCTACCTGGAGGCTGATGCATATTTTTAAAAGATAAGCCATTAATATTATAAAAAACATCTATCCAAAGTAGCACATTTATTCCATGCTTCTATTTCACCTTTGTTTAATGCTGTCGGTATAAAAGTAATTCTGCAAAATTTACTTTATGTAGGCTTCTGTGCTGCTTGGCCCTTTGAGTTGGTCTGCCATCAGGTATGTGTTGTGTGAGGAGGAGATGTAGTAATGGTTGAGGGGCTGGTTCATGTCCTGATACACAGATCTGTGGGCTGGGTTCAAAATACAGCCGTCGTCCTGCTGCAGGTACATCAGGAAGCCATCTTTGGTCATGCAATTGTTCTGCTTTGCTGTGACACAAAAGGATGAAAGTGTTGAGTGGAAAATTGTGTATAACACAGTTGAGTTAAAGCTTTAATAATATGGTTACTATAATTTTATCATTCCCTGGTGTCCAGAGTAAGTCTACCTGTTTTATCCAGTTCATATTTCTCAATCAGCCTGTGGGCGTCCTCTGCGGTCGCCTGCTCCCGCTGCTCGTTCAGCAGAAAGTTCAGCAGGTCTCTGTCGCTCATCTGACCCTCTGTTTGAGCATATTTCCCATAAATGACATCAATCTCCTCACGGTGTGTCAGCATGTCGTAGAATTGCTTGATCTCTTCGCCTTCCAGGGTGCCTGAATTGGATGTGTCACATTTCTGTGCAACACAATCAGTGAATTATTTAACCAGATCTAACATTTTATGAAAGATTAACAGTGAATTTCAAAGATATATTTTGTAATTTGCTGAAAAGGTCTCACCTTAAAAAGGTCCGCTGCGTAAGAATCATCAACCTCAATATTGATCTGCCTCAAGAAGTGTTTCACCTCCTTTAGTGTCATCATGTTGTCGCCATTCTTGTCAGCCTTACGTATGCAGCTGAATATCCAGCTGGCATTCAGATGTAAGGATTTGATGTATTACGCACAAAAACATGCAAACACATTTCTCTATTTAGGAGTTTGCTAAGGATACTGTTCGCTCTTCTTCTGGTTACTGAGGTTGTGCATGTTGTTGATGACCTTCTCCAGGCTGCTGACCCACTTATTTACATCTTCCGGAGATTCTGCCATCAGGTCGAGATTCTTCTTGCGCCCCTTGAACATGATGGAGAAGCAGAGGTCTTCAACGCTGGCATCGGTGTATTTTTTAAGGCCCTCAGAGTGGCGGCCCTTTCGAACCGATTCAATGTCATCAATGGAGACTGTTTGGAGAGCGAAGGGGTGTTTGTTAGAAAGTGTGGCCCTGAGAAATCACTGAAGGTTAGTGTTTTAATAGCCTCAAAGTCAATATTTGGTAAGCCCATCTGTATTCTTCACTACAGCCTCTATCAAGACGATCCCACACTGCTTCAGTAATGTTGAGGAGAATGTTGCTCTGGAGAGGCCAATCCATGACTGTTAGTGTTCCAGTTTGTTATTTTCTATCCAGGTATGCTTTAATAGATTGGCAAAGTGTTTGGGATCACTGCCATGATAAAAAACAAATGAAGCCATTGCCATTCAGATGCTTTGCAGATCAAAATCTGACATGACCACTGGCTGAAATGCAGCTCCAAACAAATTTTTTTCCTCTTTCTTAATAACATGCTTTTTGGACACTTTTCATCTGCAGTAGATAGTTTTTTAGGTATTGCACGGTGGGTTAAAATCTCACTGTACTTTTCTCCATGCATAATTAATTTTAACAAGATCCTCAAAGTCACTGCTCGAACTGCTCCAATTCCTCAAATTTTTTAAGGACACACTGCAAACCATGCCAGGTTTTTAGCTAGTAGCTTGTTGGGAAAAGTTATTTGAAAACAATCATCGTGTACAAGGAGTGGACTGAGGAAAAGTGAAAAAGCAAAATATTTTTAAAAATTCAGGTATGACACCTCTAATCTATATCGTAAAAAGCAAATTGTGATTATTTTAATATATTCATTATTAACTGCTATGTTGTCTAAAATGTAACATCTTTTATTTCTGGCATTAACAACAGCTATCAGGATGGTAGCATTCAGCCATTATTATCCCTTGACACACAGTCTTTCCTAAGATAAGTCCATATCTTGTGGCGGCCGACTTTTTTGTCCCAGTGGTTACAACTGAAACTGTTTTTCTATCTTATCTACAGGAAGGCTTTTGTCTCAGCACGCCACATCTGTTGCCTTCACTCACAAATCTGCAGCACAAAACTTACGTCTTCCAGGCAACTTTCTGCATGCACTGGTGGGACCCCGACAACATTTATGAATCAAAGGCTGACTTTTTGATCATTTATGTGTGTAAAAAATCCATAATGTGGTACCAAGAAAGTGCTACCGTTGCTTTTTTAGCAAGCATTGTCTATTTACAGGACATCAAAATTAGCATAACATTTTTTGTTATATTTTAGATCACTATAAAGCCTTAGCCAATGGCCTTCACAAACTCTTGACAGCAGCTAAATGCTGCACCATCTTCACGAGCTAGTCACTATCTTTTTTTGGTACTAGGCAGTGTGTAAACAGTTGGCTTATCAGAGCTTTTCAGTGGAAACAGATGAATCCTGCTGAAAACAGAGCTCTTGACTCTTGAGGCCATAAAAGCAAAAAATTAGGTAAAAGACGCTAAAATGGTCAACCAAGTTGAGTTGGGCAATAATTTCATTACAGATAATCCTTTAAATACTTGCTAGGATGAAAAAAATTGATTTATGCAGATTAATCTGTAATAGACTATTTACAACATTGCAACAGCAAGTCTTCATGAATGTCCTGCTGTCAAACATACTACTAAATCATGTTTATAATAAACCAGATTGAGCCATTTTACCCAAACAGTCTTAATGTTTATGAGTCATTTTTAGGCCTAACAGATGGGTTCTCCAACATTTTGTTGTTATCTCCTGTAAACCTGAATTCTTTTGCAACACAAACCCATTCCAGATTTGATTTTGACTTTACTGCACTTTAAAACATTTTTCCACAATCTGACCTCTCCTGAACCTCTTTTCAAACACATGCACCCATACAATCAAAGTGTCTCGGACTAAAATGTTTATCTATATCACCCATACAAAGACAACATACATACACAAAAGGTCACTGCACACTGATGCAGCCAATGCATCGGAGGCCAGCTCTATTGTTGTGCAATAGAGCTGGCCTCAATGTACGGAAGAGCATGCACTGCCGCGTGTGATGTCATTGCACTACACAGCAGCACAGGCCCTTGTAACAAAACAGCAAAAGACTCCAGGCTTAGCCATGAGGCCATATACTATGGCTGGGCCACAATCACTCCACATCTACTCCCTGCATCCCAAAGTTAGAGAAGCTAATGAATCATTCTACTTTGAAGGAATCTAAAGTTCAAAATAGGTCAAAACAAAAACAACACATTGAGGGGGCAGTGGAGTGAAACACACCCATGTTTTCCAAGCCCTGCCTCAGCTGATTGCTGGATGACTAAAATACCTTAAAAGCACTCAGCAGAAAAGGGAGTGTTTGGTTGATCTGTGCATGCACATTATCTCCAACAAAACAGAGGTTGTGAATTTGGACCAATTTCAGGGAATCCCATCTGGAGAGACTTGCCACAATGTCCAAGTCGTGTTATCCGTGTCACGCAGACATTGTTCGAATACCACATGAAATGTTTACACAAAGAGAGTTTTGTGAAGGCCTGACGAAAGTTCACTCTGTTGTTTCTAACAGTCTTTTCCTCAAAGGGAAGTTTGAGTTAAGGGTTAGATAGCCGTGCCAGTGAGCGAACAAACAAAACAAAAAGAACAACTTTGAATGACAGTCACTCTATGTTCCAGTGCTCACCTGTAATCATTAGAAAAAGGTCATAATACAATGAGTGTCCTTCTTAGGGTGGCTGGAATCCACATTAGAAAGAGTAAGGACCTTGAACATCCAGAGGGAGCTTTGAGTACAGCTGTTAAATACCAGTTTGGGCATCTAATTAGGATGTCTCATGGGCAGTTTGCTTTGGAGGTTTTCCAGGCTTTCCCAACTGGAAGGAAAACCCAGGGTGGAACCCAGAATCCACTAGAGCGATTATATATCTCATCTGGCCTGGGAAAGCTCCCCTAGGAGGAAGGATACGCACAAAATAATCGATTGATAGATTAATGGATCAGTTATTGAGTGGATCAGTGGATGGATCAATAGATGGATTAAAACCTCGTTAAATTGCCCAAACTAAGCTATGCTGTCAGTGACATAAGTAGGCTAAGCCAGCTTTTCAAGCTGACAAATTTGACTTGAGTAAAGCACAGCAGCAGATGCTCTCATGAAAAATATGGCAAAAAAAAACAATACATGCTGTCCTCCCACAATCTCCTCTATTTTAATCAAAGCGCTTTAGAGCTGACTGGTAAATGCAGCTGGAGCCCACAGGAAAGCAATAAAATAGCAGCTTATTTCCGTAAACAAAGAAATTCCTGTGTAGGCCCATCTGTAAGAAAGCTCGGTAACGTTAGAAAACATCGTGTTTGTAAAGAGAATATTAGAGTCATTATTCTCAGTGTTTGTTCAAGGCTCAAGTGCAGGGCAGAGGTGAGCTTGGAAACCTGAGCTACCTGAGTCCCAGTGGATGCACACATGCTGTACATTCACAGCCAGACAGTGGCTCACTGAACCGAAAACCTAAGGAAAATAGTCTCTCTAACACACACAGACAAACATACAGCTGGGAGTCACACTAGTATTTCCCAGTCCGGCTTTCGCCACACCACAGTACCTATCAGCATGGAGCTGTTTTCACACATATTCACTACTATTGTCATATGAGGGTGTGCTTGTGTGTGTGTGTGTGCTGTAAGGGAATACGCTTTTGTTAAGATCTGAAAGGAGAGCTCTTAGCAGACAGAATAATAGAAGAGCGGTCTGCGGGTCAAAAAGGTAGATGTTCTCATCAGACTAAAATAATTTAAATGGAACACAGAACTTGTACATGGACCTGCAACAGACTGGAGGCCTGTCCGGGATATGTGGAAGACAATGGCTGGCTGAATGGAACGCTGGGCATGTAAATATACAAACATATATAATAAAGTAAGCACAGAGGTTACACTCACAGGTGTGGTTTTGCTTGAATGCTTTTTTCGACTCATGCGAAAAGGTCTGGCAGTCTTCCTCCAGTTTGAAGTAGCGGCCATGCTTCCAGGATTTTGAGCGAACCTTGACCAGTTTTCCTCCCAACAACAAGAACTGGAGATCTGAATCTCCCTCCAAACCTGCGGGTGTGAGGACAAAAGGAGCAGTCACGCAAGTTTCTGCCTTCTGTATTTTAAAATATACATAAAGTACACTTGGTTAGATATTGCAATAAACTGAGCATTAATAGCAGAAGTAAATAAATGTTATAAATAAAACTGATCAATATGCTATCAATACTTGCAATTTTAGCCATGTTTAATATGAGGATGCACCAGTTTAACAGTATATGTGACAGAAAATGAAGATAAGCATTATTAGTTACCCCTTAAATTAATTTATAGGTCCCGTATGGCTGTCATACGAGAACCAACAAAGAATTTTGGAACCATCTATATCTAGAATAAAATCTAAGCTATGTGCAGTCCTGTGTCTTTTTTATCCCCAGCACACCTGTCGTACTGTAGTACAGTGCAGTGTATCACAACATTTCAGACAAGTAGAGACAATAGCCTATCATTCAGGTGCAGCAATTTTCTGAGTGTTGCATTCTGGGAAGGGTGTGTGCTATCATCCGAATGAATGACTCAAAGCATATTTGTTAATCAGTGCTGGCGTTTATCAGTGTAAAAGTGTTTGTTTCACACAGCTTTATGAATTATAAAATTCTCTCTAACTGAGACTGAGAATATGCAACACTTTCTAAGTAAACAAAGGGCATTTGAGGAAAACACGTTAAATACGACTCAGAAGGGAGTGTTTTTATGGCTGTGGGCAGGATCGCAGCATAACAGACATTTCTTTTTCGCCCAGATCACACCACAAGCCCACAGAGGCTGTTTATGAGTCTCTGGCCTCTCTGCAGCCAGGGAGGAGGACTGGCCAGCGCTGCACCACCCCTGCCCAGTCAGGCTTTCTGTTGGAGGCTTTGCTCTGAGCACCTTCTACGTGTTTGTCAAGCCTCTTTTCTTGTGATCTACTTCACTGTGAAGAAGAGCAGCCTGCTTTCAGTCATCCAACAGCTTCATGTTACGAAAGCAGGCGCTGACATGTTCCTTACGCATCAAACGTCTCTGTTTGCATTTTTTTAAGCGAACTAATCAGTTTCAGATGGGAAGAGCTCTTTACTGTGTGCACCCAATTACACAAGCTAGCACAAGAAAATTCCAAGAACTGTGAAGTGAGAGGGAGGCGTGATGGCACAAGTTCACGTCATATGTTTGGATGCCAAACAACCCCCTTGCCATAAATAAAAAGACTAGTTTGACGATCAAAAAGTGAGTCTTTGTCACATTGGAAAACCATTCCCACACAGTACAATGTCATGTGACCTGAGTAGGGAATGTGACTATTTCAAACAATTATATTTTCCTACAAAAACACGTGTAGGACATGGTTTTTAATTGCTTAACAGGAATGCAGTGTTGTTAGATTACGACTGTGTTATAAATGACACAATAAAATGGAAAGAAATTTAGGTATAAATACTGTGCTGCCCTCGTCTGTGCAGATGACTAATACCCAGGAAACTATGCTGTCTAGAAGGGGAAACAATAAGAGACAGAAACCCGAGAATCGAACACCGCAGAGGTTTTCCCCTCAGCTCATGAAGTCTTATTGAAGTTTAGCACATCCTGTGTCTGTAGTCTCATTTGTCACCTCGTTTTCAGCTCCATCACACAGACCCTTACGCTGCAACTTCCCTAACGTCAAAGAATTTACCGCTCCAGGCAACGAGGAAGCTATCATAAAGCGTTAGAGTGCACGGATCAAAACACAAACCATATGTTTATTCTCAACGTCACGACAGAAACATTTATCGTCCAAGGCTGCACGTGATTGGTGATATTTTTTTTTTCTCTTATTTGAAGATATAAAGTTTCGCAAAATCCATGTTATCCAAACATTACGCGCACGCGCCTGCCAATGTTGGCAAAACAGTCGAAGGCGTCTCAAGCGCGTTTGCACCTTTGGAGGACTCACCCAGGCGTTTTCCGTTCTCCTTCGCAACTTTTTTCAGGTGTTCCAGAAATGCTTGTTCCTCGGATTTTGTCCTTTTTGGCCGTTTATGAAAACAAGACATCTCGGATAAACTTTCTTGTTTATCCCGGTGGGATAAAGAGACTGGCCGGTCGGGTCGATGCTCGGCGTTAAAGAGAAGCAACACGTAGATCTCCCCTCATGGGGCGGGTCCCAAAAATAATCTGTTTCTGTGTTAGAGCTGCAGTAACTTTGCTTACCTGTCCTTGTTTGCACACTCTGAAGGAACCGTTCAGCGCTATGAGGGTGTGAGTCTGCTCTCATCTAACCTGTAATCTTAGTGATAAACTTTTTAAAAACTTCTAATGGTCGGAAACACATCTGACTGGCTTAAGTGGGCCATCGCTCTCACAGAGTGAGGTTTGTCTGCAATAATAAAAGGTCTTGTGCGCTTAAAGAAGAATTTTGCGGTTGCTTATACAGAGGTAAAAGGTTACAATATGCCTTTAAATAAATTTCTATGTAAAAAAAAAAACCAGTACGCGTTTTACACATCACTATTTTCATGTCTTGACGGGCTGCTGTAGCTGCTTCCAAACACAAATAAAAGAATTGTTATAAATCTATACGTTTATGAATATTTTACGTAATAACCATTTTAGTAATGAGATGTGAAACAGCGCCATCGTAAGGGAAAAGCGGATTGGCCTGTAGTTTAAAAAATTGCAAATTTAAATAGGATATTTAAAGAGCGAGGGATGTTTTAATATCCACAAGGATGTATAAGAACTGCAGCTCATCGATAAAAACCTGTGCTACCTGATCAACGATCTCTGGGTGTGGTTAGAAAGCAAAGTGGAAAATTAGATGAAACGTAACACCTGCAATACCTTCAATATTATTCGTTCAGCTCGATGAAACGTGTCATTGTCGTGGTAACAGAAACATGTCACGATGCCAAAACCAGGAGCCCACCTCACTGCTTTGGATGGCAAATGTGCGTTGAAAGAAAACCAACAGAAAGCAACCAAGGAACGTGAGAAATTGTGAAGCATTTCTCTAACCAGGAAACCACAATGTTTTTTTGTTTAGAAGCACTGGCTCCTTTTTTTATTTTATGATATATATGTATAAGTATTAAAAGCTCCTGTTGATTAATATTTGTTATTTTTGTCTCAATTTTAGACATTAGACAGGAGACGTTGTTATTTATTGAGGAGAGAAAAAGAAAACAGACCCAACTTTCATTCAAACATCAAAAACAAACATGGGTTTGGTGAAGCTTGCTTAATAGTGCTCCAACTGGCACAAAATCGATAAATCAAACACATTAAAAAACGTGCGCTTTTTAGTGCAAGTAGACTAAATCAGTGCGCTCACATGCACAGATTTTTGAGCAACTCACCAAGTTTGCTGGATGTGCCATTGAGGTCCATTTTTATATCAGCTAATAGAAATCACCATGTGCAGTGCAGCAGTTCCCGGGCTGAATAACAGGAGCTATCCTGGACATAAAACGTGTCTTTTTGCCCTGTGGAGGAATAAATCCTGTCCGCGGTGCCCTCCACACAGTGTGCAGTGAATGCCAACCCACTTGGGACGCTCTTGCGTGCTTTCGATTCCACACCCACTGCAACACCGGTCGGACAAGTAAAGCACTGTGAATATTCTTATGTCTTCTTACACTGAAAATTACACATGTGGAAAGAAATACTAATTTTGCTTTCATAAAGTCAAACTTAAACCTCCAGATAGTTTTGTAATGTCGCAGCATCGACCTGATTGCCATTGTGCGTTATTTGTGCCATTCTGGCACCCAAAGTGTGATGTGATTTATTCAGGGTTTTACCCCAGTCTGGTACAGAACTGCCATTTAAAGCCCTCGTGCTTTAGCCTATCCCTCTTTGCACTGCAGGGTTAGTGTTGTCATTACTCCACAGCATACCACCTCCATGTCATCGTCACTTCGGTTTTCTTTTTAAAAACACATCTGATCTTAAAATCTCACTCTAAAGCCTTCTGACCTCAACACACAACGAGAACTGCTCTAAAGAAACAGGTTGAGCAGTGGAAAAAGAAAAACAAGCAGGACCAGATTTTCATTCTCCCAGAGTCAATCTCTTGTGCACGCAAGAATGCTCCTGATCAATTGTGTGTGGGGGTTTGGGTGTGTGTGTTTGCTTGTGTGTGTGTCACTTAATGTGGATGCTTTGCTTTGAAACATAGGTAAATAGTGTTTGCTTGTTGCACAGACTCCTTTTAGTTGTTGACAGATCTCTCTTTGTGCCGCTTTATTATGAGAGTCTCCCTGTTTTCTCTGGCCTGTGAGCCCTTGTGTTCGAGCATGTCTTGTGGGCAAAAAAAAAAATGCCTGACAAACCACAAGGAGGTACAAAGCCAGCCTCACAATTGGCCCTTTGACAATCCCACTTGAGCACCATATGAGCTGATCGACACAGTGAAAGATTTTGTTCTGGAATCGTTGGCCTCTTCAACACAAACGACTTTCAAATGTGTTTAAATAACACTGCTTGGTGCAGCAGCTATTTCGAGTGACACAGACGCATGCCCACACTTTAATGCTTTGAAATGCAGCTTGCATTACACAAACAGCTAAAACCTGTTTGTTTTTTTATCTTCCCACGTTGTACAATGACAGACAGCTTTTTTTTTTCTACGAAGTTTCTTGGAAAACTAATTGCATGTGTACAGAAGAGACAATATGATAGTGTGGTATGTGCTTGTTGTGTTTTGGGTATATCTGGTTTCATCGGGTGGTTTATTGTCTCAGACTGTTCACTGTATCAGAGTCAACTGAAAATAAGAGGGATTTTATCAAATTCATTCAACTTTATCAAACGCTGAAAGAGTCCTGTCATCTGGAAACTACTGCTTAGACTCTTTGAGTTTAAAAATGATGAGCTTCACACTTTAAGTTGCTTCGGTCAGCCATCCAAAGCAAGTGACATTGCTCAAGAGAGGTGGAGAAGAAAATGTAGCCAGGGTGGAGTGAGTGATTGTCAGGGGTGATTTGAAACAGAAGTGAAAGGGCAGGTTTACAAGATGGATGTAGTGAAGACACCTGACACCTGACGCAGGTTCAGGTGTCACAGAGGAAGATGCTAAGGATAGGGCGAGATGGAGGCAGATAATATGCTCTGGCATCCCCTAAAGGGACTGCGGTCAAGTGAGCCTTCATATGCAACGATAACAATAATATTTATATTTATAACAAGGTGCAATAATAATTAATGTGCAATAATAACAGTGTGCAATACACAGTGTGCAATACACATACACTTATTCTTCTTTTTTATACTAAGTTAATATACTGTGTTGTGTTGTTTGTTACGTTGTGATGTGTCATATCGTGTCGTGTTGTGTTATATGTAGTGCCGACGTAGGACAGTTTTTCCAATTTCATTGTACTACTGTACTATGTATGACTGTGCAATGACAATAAAGAGTTATCTTATCTATCTATCTTATCTTATCAAAGTCACCGTCAAGCTAGCCGCACCCCCAGCCGCAAACACAATGTTGTTGCACTTTTCTTACGCATGTTACGGTACGGGTGAAGATTCCTGCCATTTTCACTATTTTACCTCTCAATCCAACTTCAAGTTTTGAAGTATTAGCAGTTGATATATATAATATAAATTAATTTCTAATTCCTGCACTATGCATTGAAAATTTAAAAAAAAACACGTTTATATATCCTGTAAGAGTTGATAATATATTTCCAAAGCAATATCTTCTCACTATACTGTACATTCCTGTTCACCCTGATCTGATCCCCAACTAAGTAAAACTGCTGCACTGTATTTTTGATTATGTGTGGGGTTTTTTGTTTGTTTGCTTTTTTATTACAGGAAAACTGTTAAAGGTGACGCAAATATTTCACTGGATTCTTACTCTGGATCACCCTCACTCTTTCTCCTCTGGCTCACAGCCCAAAGAACTGTATGATTTCTGAGAAAATTACAGTACTGTGCTTTGAATATTCTCAACTTTGAACTGATATTAATAATAATGAAGTATATTTCCCCGTGGGGAAATTACTCTCTCTGCATTTAATCCATTCACTCAGTGAAGCGGTGGGCAGCCACTAACCAGGCGTCCGGGGAGCAGTGTGTAGGGATGGTACCTTCCTCGGGGGTACCTCAGCGTAGCTGTTCAGTGGAAACGAATCCCCGTCCTTCAGATTGTGGGGCGACCATGCTATCTACTGAGCAATCCCGGTCCCGGCTTTAAACTAAAACTACAAAGGGTGGCACAAATATTTCACTGGATTCTTACTGTAGTTTACCCTCACTCTTACCCTTCCAGCTCACAGCCCAATGAATTGGATGCTTTCAGAGAAATTTAATAGTAAACTCTATCCCAACATTAACACATTGAGCCCAGCAACAATTACAGCTGAATATACATTCTAAAATTGAATATATTGCATAATTGTACCCCCCTTCCACCATTAACAAATGGTGTTATGAGTGTTGTGAGTGAGTGTTATTAACCCTCTGTGTGCTGCAACTCCAAATCACATGACCGACATGTGAAGCTGACATAGCAACAAGCTGCAGCCACCCTGAGTCTCTATTTTATCTCGTGTTGAAAGTTCTTACTTCAAAGTACATCAGTTTTAAAATTTTAATGACAGGCCACTAAATCCAGAGCAATGATTAATTTTTTTTATAAGCGGTTAAAAAAAAGTAAAGAAAGAAAAAAAGCCACCTCTTTCCTATTGGTGGAAAAATGTACCATGTTGACCTGTTAAAAAAATGGCAACATGCGGGATTTGGTTGTTGAGGAAGAGGGGAAAGTTTGGGGAGTTTGGGCAACAAGAGCTAACGAGTGAGAGAGTTTTGAAATGATAGATAGCTGTGCAGTTGTGTTGAGAGTGTGTAGTTAGTACATTGTGTTGTCTTGTGTAGTCAGTGTGTAGTCTAAGGAGCTTCTTTAAGTTGCTTGAAGACTGGATGACTGAGAACCTTCACAGACATAGTCAGTGTGTAATGTATTTGCTGTTTTGTTGTGTGCCAGTGAGGTTATTAATGAAATAAGACAATTTGCAGGTGCAAAAGACCTCAGCCCAGCAAATGATGAAAAACATTTGTTCATGACAGTGCAGATTTCTGACATTTTGTGTAAATGTAAGCAACAATTTGAATTTTTCTAACAGAAAACAGTGTGAAACCCAAGTTAGACTTGTGTTTGTAAATGAATCGCCCCATGTTGTGTAGCTTTCTGGATTTTATACTTATTGGGATACATATTTATTTATTATTTTTTGTAACTGAGATGTTTAATTATGTGGGATACAGAAAATAATTAAGTTATAGATTACATTATGTGCTTAAAAAACGCTTTGATTTTTCCACCTCATTTGATTTCCATGCCACCACAAGAAAATTTCTCTAGATCCGCCCCTGCACTGACGACACTGCGTTGGTTGGGCGTATTGCAAATATTTCAAAATTGGAAGTGGATCGAGTAGCAAAATAGTGATAAATGGCAGGATACAGAAGACTCAGGTGTTTTTAAGCCAGTCGGCACCCATACCGGTACGGCTGGCTTGACCGTTACTTCACATGTGAGTGCTGCTCACTTGACCGCAGTCTAAAGGGAGCAGAGAAGAAGAAGATACTTAGAAGTGATTTGAACCGATTTCAATACAACTAAACTAAACTGTCGTCCTAATATTAACACGAATTAGTACTACTACTACCAATAATATATAATTTAAATTTACATATAAAAATGCTAAAACGTAAATTCCTGTCTAGAAGGAAGTTTGGTTGTTGCTATAGCAACCCCATGTAAGAAAACATGGCTGACAAATTATGAAGTAATTTATAAACTGGTGCGACACCAGTTTATAAATTACTTAATCTAAGCTACGAATAAGTCTCTTTCTTACTAACACCTCTGTAACATTTGGCATGATCCATTTAGCTACAGTAGACGTGTCAGCTATGGAAGAGGAGCCGGAGACCAGAGGAAAGCTGCGGGCTGACCCTTCTGTGAACACTCACAGACCCGCGTGTGGAAAATCCCAGGTAAGATCCACCTGACACCTTTAAATGTCTAGGAAACATCAAAACTAATGATAATAATACTAATGAAAAAGCTAACTTCTCTTTTGTTGTATCCCAGAATATTTCGTATGTACTAGCAAGCATCTTTAAGCATCTTTACACAAACGACATAATTAGAAAAGACACTGTGTCCAACCTAGTTCAAACAAAACGTGTACGAGGCAGCTATCATGACAGATACGTTGAAGAACTCCAACAGGTAATCATATACACTCATCTACAACTTGTAAAAAAAATCACTGTCAAAAGTCAGCTGAAGAATAATACAGTGTTA